GCTCCAGATAAACCCTGAGTCACTAATGCGTCCCTCCAGAAACACACACACACACACACACACACCACTGATCCTCCTCCTGAATCTCGGAGATGTCTGGAAATGGAGAGGACCATTAGTGCAGTGCGGTCCGGTTCTCCAGTGTTTGTGTCCTGCTCGGGTGTGTGTGAGGTCTATGAGGGTCTCAGGTGTGTGTTTCTCCTGGCCCTGGTTTGGGATTATGAGGGAAGGCCAGTCATTTAGCCAAATCAGGATAGAGGTCAGTGTCGGTTTAGGGATTATAACCTGAGTCATCTCTCTCACACACTCACACACACACACACATGGGTGATTCTAGAAATACAGGTACATTTGTCATCTCCAAATTAAGTTATTTTTATTATATCAAGTTTCCTCCAATAATTGTGTGTGTGTGTGTGTGTGTGTGTGTGTGTGTGTGTGTGTGTGTGTGTGTATGGGTGTGTGTGTGTGTTTTTGAATGAGATTTTTGCATGAAGACTCCCACTATCACTCCTGAATCCGACATTCAGCTTCAATTATTAGATAGTTAACTCTGGTTTTCCTCTGTTTGTGTGTTTACTCTACTAAATCACACTCAGTTTTGCTGTTTGTTATTTTGAATGAGCTGAAACACACAATTCTTGAGGGTTTTAAAGGACAGCTGGATTGTTTTATGCTCACTCCACTTAAATTTGTAAACTAAAGTTAACTTAATTACTTTATATTGTCCCAACACACACTGATTGAAGTATTGCTAATTGCCTGAGACATCTATTTTCTGTATTTGTAATTTCGGTAATGAAAAAACACATTTAGTGTGTGTCTCTGTCATCTGGTCAACTCTGGTGTTACACTGTAAAATGCAGGGTTCCACACAATTTATTAATGTTGTCCCAACACAAACTGATTAAGTTAACAACACTTTTAACAAATTTATGTAGATTGAACATAAAGAAATTAAGTTGTCCCAATGAAATGTCAAGAGTTGTGTTGTTTCAGCTCATTTTTAAATGAGTAGTATTAAAGGTAAAAAAAACAAACATTTTTTTTAATTTGTACATTGGTTAGAAAGAAGCAGAAAAAGTTTTAAAAGGCATAGAAAGCATGTGATTTTCTCCAAGTGATATTTTCACTGGCTTTTCCAGCCCGATCTCATGTGAAAACGCAACAATTTGACATGTTTGTACAAAGTGGCTAATTTGTATGATTTCATATGATTTTATTCTTACAAAAATTACATTTTTAAAAGGAGACGTGCTGCTAAACCAGTTCTGCATTATTATTAATATCATTATTATTTTATATATTATTATTATTTGTATTATTATTAATGTTATTATTGTTATTGTTATTATTATTTTATTTCTAAAATAATGATCATGAATAACATTATTTTGGGTTGGCTGGCAAAGCACGGTAGTCTGATAAAGTGTCATAAACACTTATGATGCATGTGCTGTGGTTTAAACTTGCATTAGTTCAGACTGACTCACAGATCAGCTGACAAAGCAAGAGTCCTGTAGCTCTGCATTTTTATGGTATAATATACAGAATATACAAAGTTTTAAGGTCATTCTACTGTCCACTGTCACTCATGTTGTTCAAGCTTTATTTCTGTCTTCAGCTGAACACAATAGAAGATAATCTGAAGAACTGAGAGATTGAATGACTGATATTTACAGTCTGCATGAGCAGAAATCACAGAGCTGATCTTCCCTAAAGCCTCTATTGTGCTGTGAATGACACCGGTGAGAGTACATGATGGAGGGGCTGTCATTATCATGTGATCTACACCTTAGAAAAATAAACAGTCTCATTGTTGTTTGTGTGTGTGAGGGTTGAAAAACCCAAAGCATTCACTAACATGAGCCGTCAGATGCTCGCTGTGCTCCTGATGCAGTGAACAGTGCATTATTTAAGATTTATCACACATTCAGTTTTTTTCGTACGTGCGTATCGCCAGCCTTGTGATTCCAACACACAATTTTGTGAAAAAGGAAAATAGCACTCTTTATGTGTAATGGTCTCTTTAGTGTGAGTTTTATTAACAGCTTCTTTTTTTTTTACTTTGAGCTGTATTCATTGTAGTTTCCATGGCAACTTCCATTAAACTTCAATTAGAATAGTATCCAATTAGATTGTTCCATTTGATGTTCTGATGTTTTGTGGCAGTTACTGGACATTCAAAATTCGCTACATTCTAAATTCTCAAGATTCTAAATTCGCTACATTTTAAATTCGCCACCATCAAAATTTGCCACGTTCAAAATTCATTACATTCTAAATTCACTACATTCAAAGTTCACCACATTCGAAATTCACTACATTCAAAATATCGCTATACATTTTAAATTCACAACATTCAAAATTTGCTAAGTTCAAAATTCTCTACATTTTAAATTCGCTACATTCGAAATTCGCCACATTCAAATTCAATACATTAAAAATATTCTACATTCTAAATTTGCTACATTCAAAACTAGCTACATTTTAAATTTGCTACATTCGAAATTCACTACATTCAAAAATCACTACATTATAAAATTCTCTACATTATAAATTTGCTTCATTCAAAATTAGCTACATTCAAAATTGGTTACATTTTAAATTGGCTACATTTTAAATTCACCACATTCAGAATTCGATACATTCAAAATGTACTACATTAAAAATTCTCTACATTGTAAATTTTCCACATTCAAAATTGGCTACATTTTAAATTAGCTACTTTTTAAATTGGCTACATTTTAAATTCGCTACATTCAAAATTCACTAAATTCAAAATTCTCTACGTTCTAAATTTGCTACATTCAAAATTGGCTACTTTTTAAATTGGCTACATTTAAAATTTACTACATTCAAAATTCTCTACATTCAAAATTGGACACATTCGAAATTCTCAAAATTTAAAATTCGTTCTGCACAAATTGTTAAAAAAACCCAACAGGTTTCTGTTAATAATATATATAAGATTATTGATAACATGTTATATTTCAATTGTTCATATATGACTATATATAATATTTCCATGACATCACATTCCATCTAACATCAAATACAAAATGTGATTTATAAAGGTATGAATAATCGAGATGAGCAAACTTTGCATATTCATAATGCAGATTTCCCCTGTTGGCTATAATATTGCTTACAGATAACAGGGGACGTTCTGCAAAGGTTCTGTCAACGTTATCAACAAACGCTTCACAATTCTCAAATAAAGATAAAAATAAAGATGTTTAGAACGTGATGTTTTCATCACGATCCCACAACATACAATGTCTGTTAGATGAAGAGTGTGTGTGTGTGTGTGTGTGTGTGCGCGTGCGCGCAGTACCTGTTGGCTCGGTTGGTCCCCATACCGTCTGATCTTCAACAGCAGGACAACAAGCTCCGCTCAGCACCACAGATTCGGAATGGGCATCCTGACATACACACACACACACACACACTGTTAGAGCAGACTGGTTTACAGACGTGCACACACACGCACACCCACTCACTTTTAGAGCAGGCAGGTTAACACACACACCTGGTTGAGACTCTCACACACACTGCAGACAGAAACACAGTCGTCTGATCTGATGGACACACAGACATGCACATACACGCACACACACACACACACACACACACACACACACACACACACACTGTATCTGTGTTCTGGTTTGGATGCAGTGATCTGGGTCAAAGCAGTGGTTAAAATAGCCCACACACACACACACACTTTCTCTCACATTTACACACACACACTTACTCTCACATTATTCACTCAAACACACTCTCACACACACACACACACACACACTTAAATATGTTACCTACACTCTCTCTCACACACATATTCACTTATACAAACACTTTAACTCACACACACACACACACACACACACACACACACATCTAAACTACTCACTCTCTTACACACACACAGTCTGTTACATACAGACACAAACATTACACATTACACACAAACTTTCATGCACAAAAACTACAGAGACAGACACACACACTACACAGTCTCTTGTACACTTATACAAACACACACACACACAGATATAGGCTGACAGCATCACAGTCGCAGCTGATTTGCATGTTCAGCTAAAAATATTTGCTCATTTTTAGATTCAGAGAAACGTCACAGTATTACACACACACACACACTCTCCAGCTGTTTTACTGACTCTGTGTCTGACTGCTCAGCATCTGCATTTATTTTCACTCTCGGAGAAATGAAGAGCACAGCGCAGGATCAGCTGTTAGTCTACAAACCTAACGCTGCAGCTTTAAAAGTCATTATAACTCGTTAGAGTCACGACAACAGCAGAGACTCCACTTGTAGCTTAAACAGTTTGATTTTTAGCCTTCTGTTAGCCATATCACCCTGCAGCCCAAGACCGGTTACTCACTGAAGCTTGGCAGCGCTGAGCCTGCTCAGTGGTCACGTAGGAAAAAAGTGAGGCCAGCAGGGGGCGCTCAACCTGCTGTGTGAGTCCTGATGCCCCAGTATAGTGAAGGGGACACTATACTGCTCAGTGAACACCGTCTTTCAGATGAGACGTTAAAGCGAGGTTCTGACTCTGTACACATTAATATTCCCTTGGAGTGTAACCTGGGCCTGTGCAACACCGACAACCCCCCTACCCCCCCGGTTTTTACTTCGTGAACCAGTCACTTCTGTTTTTACTTTCGGGTTGAGGGCGGCGTGATCATCGTTTGCCTTGAGCCCCAGTTCAGCTTGCTCCGGCCCTGGGTGTAACCCCGGTGTCCTGGCCAACTTCCCTCCATCAAATTGGCTCTGTCACTGTTTCTCCAGTCCCTCTTCAGCCTCCTCATGATTGTGAAGTATTTCGGGTGTATGGCCATACATTATAAATGCATTAAATTACACACACACTACATGACATTTTGTTATTGTCAGTACACCAGTAAACTTTCTTTACTTTTAAAAGTTTTAATCTCACATTAAATGGGTGAATATTCACCGTCCCAGTATTTCAGTTCAACTTTTATAAATTAAATGAAAATAAATAATGATTTCTTTACAAATAAAATCCAGATTAGTTGTTGTTGTAATGTAGTTGTTGTGTTACCATAGCAACCGTAGAATTACCACAACAGATCAATTACTTTAGTTGTTGTGTTGCCATAGCAACTGTAGAATCATCCCAACAGATTAATTACTGTAGTTGTTGTGTTACCATAGCAACTGTAGAATCATCCCAACAGATTAATTACTGTAGTTGTTGTGTTACTATAGCAACTGTAGAATCATCCCATCAGATTAATTACTGTAGTTGTTGTGTTACTATAGCAACTGTAGAATCATCCCAACAGATTAATTACTGTAGTTGTTGTGTTACCATAGCAACTGTAGAATCATCCCAACAGATTAATTACTGTAGTTGTTGTGTTACCATAGCAACTGTAGAATCATCCCAACAGATTTAATTACTAAAGTTGTTGTGTTACCATAGCAACTGTAGAATTACCACAACAGATCTATTACTTTAGTTGTTGTGTTGCCATAGCGACGGTAGAATCACCACAACCGATTAATTACTGTAGTTGTTTTGTTACCATAGCAACTGTAGAACCACCGCAACAGATTAATATCTATAGTAGTTGTGTTGCCATAGCAACTATAGAATCACCGCAGAAGATCAATTAATACTGTTGTTGTTACCATAGCAACTATAGAATGACCAAGAGATCAAGAAATATAGTTGTTGTTACCATAGCAACTAAAGAATGACCACAACAACGTTGTTGCTACATCGCATATGGTTGCGGCAGGAAGTTAACAAGAATTATTTATATTATTTATGAAATTTCCCATTTATTGTATTTTATTANAGTTTACCCCCACCCCAACCCTAAACCAAACCGTCAGGGTAACGTAAAAAATGCAGGGTTCCACACAATTCATTCATGTTGT